TTTAATAATACAAGCTAATTCTTTATTATTATTAAGTATTAACTTATTTATTATTTTTATAGAAAGTATCTATAAATTAAATAAAAAATATTTAAATTCAAAATTTATCTCAATATCTTTATTATAGTAATAATTATCTTTTTCGTTATTTGTATTAATATTTAAAATAATTTTTATACTAAATATAATAATTGGGTGCCTTTTTATTTTTTAGTAATTTTTTTTGATATTTTTATTAATTAAATTATTTCTGCATTTATTAAATATAAACTATTTATTCAATATGTTTCTAGATAAATAAATTAAAAATGTTATAGGGTTGAAATGATATTATTTAATATTTTTAATATAGAAAATTTTTTAAAGAATATATAATAAAAAAATATTAAAATTGATAACTTTAATAATTTTAATTTTTTAAGAAATATTATTTAATTAAATTTAGATGAATATTTTATTAAAATGAATTATATAAACTTTATTGATAATATTTTTATTATTTATTTATATATTTTTGTAATTTTAAATATATAATTAATTATAAACATATTTATTATAATTATATATTCCATATATTCGTAAACAATAGTTTATAATTATTAATAAATATTGATATTTTTTTGATTGAAATTTAAAAATAAAATTACATAAATATTTTATATAAATAATTGTATTTACTTCTAATTTATATTTTTTTTAAAAATATAAATTATAAATTTAATAAAATATTATAATTATATATTTATTTTAAAATAATTTAATTATATAATTAATATATATATATTATTTTTAAATATTTATTTATTTTATTTTTATTTAATGTTCATTAATTTACTTTTTTATCTTATGTTCTAAATTTTGAAAATTTTATATATGTTCATAATTTTTTGCGAAAAGTTTATATTTTCTATAATTATATCAATCATATTTCTCATTAATTATTTTTAGGCAATATTTAAATAAAGAATTCTTATGTATTTCTTTAAAAATTTAAATAGTGCAATTGTCTCTTTTATTTGCATTATTATAAAAGTATTTCTCTATTTTTTTTATTTTATTTAAATCCAATTATTTAAAAATAATACCCCAACAATTTGTTCAATCAAATTTATTTTATTTTAAAGATTTTATGATCAAAAATTTTTACAATTTTTTTGTTTTGTTTACATATTAGATATATATTTATCAAATTTTAAATTATTTTTTCTAGAAGGAATATCATTTTTATTAATTAAATTAAAAATGTATAAGTAAGAGGATATTTTAAATTAAAAACTAAATAATAGTTAAATTTATTTGTTATTTTGATATTTTTAATTTAATTTTTATTTTAATAGATAATAATATATATAATGAAAATTAATTATATTATTATTATTTGATAAAAATTGAATTAATAGTCTTTTTATTTAATTTGATAATAATTATTATTTTATATATTTAAATATATGATTAAATTTATTATTCCTAATAATAATGAAATTATAAATATGGAATATATTATTATTTTTATATATTTTAAAATATAAAAATATTTCACATACATATTCATATATTTTATATTTTTATTTAAAAATATAAAATATGATTTTTAGATTTATTTAATTTCTATTTTAAAATTATAAAATGTATAAAATATGTAAAATATATATTTTTAAAAATGCATTATATTATAAAATATATTTTTAAAAAATACTTGCATATAAAAAAAATAATTAAAAAAATAATATAAAATAAAATTATAATTTTAAATATATTTTAATAAAATAAGTATATTTAAAAATTTTTTATTTAAAAAATAAGAATTTTTTCTATTATTATATTAAAATTTCTTATACATTTTCAATAATTAAAAAATTTAAATATTTAAAATACGTAATAAAAATCAATTTCAAAAAAATGAATATTATAATAATAATATTCCTAATATTAATATATTATAAAATTGAATTATATTATAATAATATGTGGAAATAAAAATAAAATATAAAATAATAATTTCAAAAAAATTCAAAAATATATTCAAAAAAATAAAAAAAATATTTAAAAATTTAAATGAAAAATCAAATTGATTAAATATGACTTAAATTACATATTAAAAACTTAAAACAATAATTTTATAATAATAATAATAATAAATACTTAAATAAATCAATATTTTTAAAAATAAATGAAAATTAATAATCATTTAATAATCTTTATTATATTAATATAATCTTCCTTTTCATAAAATCTCCGTATCGAAAATCCCGAAGCTAAACTTCCAACTATAGAATATATAAAATATTTTAATTATCCATATGAAGTTCATTCTAATATAGTAACTGAAGACGGTTATATTCTAACCTATTACCGAATATAGTCTAAAAATAGCATAATATTAGATGGTAAAAAACCTGTTTTATTACATCATGGTTTATTGGATAATTCAGATACTTTTTTAATTAATTCAGAAGATAAAGCGCCTGCTTTTGTACTTGCGAATGCAGGCTATGATGTTTGGTTGGGCAATAGTAGAGGAAATATGCACAGCAGAAGACATTAGACACTAAATCCTGATAAAGATAAAGCTTTCTGGGATTTTTCATATGAAGAAATGAGCAAATATGACTTAGTTTCTGGTTTTGAATACATCTCAAAGATCACAGGATTTTCTAAAATCGACTATATAGGCCATTCTTAAGGATCAACAATTATGTTTATTGCACTTTCAGAAAGAAATCCCCGTATAGTTTCTAAATTAGGAAAATTTATAGCTTATGGGCCTGTTGCTAGAATTAAATATGAGCACTCTTTAATGTTAAATTTATTATAGGAATTTAATGTAGACTGGGCCTTATATTTCTTAGGAATATATGAAGTTTTATCTTATAAATGGTTTATTAATCATCCTATATTAGAAGCTTTTTGTGGCTTTTTACCTAGAATCTGCAGAAGTGCTTTAGGACCAATTGCTGATACAAATCCATCAGTAGATAATTATAAAAGAATGGATGTACTTGTAGGACATGATCCGGCTGGAACATCATTAAAAAATATGGAATTATGGAAATAAGGTAAGAGAAAAGGAGTATTTTAAAAATTTGATTATGGATAAAAAAAAATATGTAAGTTTATGGGTAAAAAACGCCTCCTGTTTACAACCTTAAAAATATATAGGAAAAAGTTTATTTATTTGCAGGAACATATGATAGTTTAGCAAATCCAAAAGATGTTTCATATTTAAAAAATTAATTATAAAATTATAAGTATTATGAATATAAATATGGGCATTGTACTTTTATGTGGGGAAATAGTATGGTGCATCTAAAAGATACTTTAGATATTTTAGAAGAAAAAATTTGATATAAATATTTAATAATTATATATATATTTATATACATATATATGTATATGTTTTCATAATAATTTAATTATATATTTTTCTATTTTTTTTATTTAATAAAAATAAAAATATAAGGTTAGTTTTTTTATTTATCAATTTATATTTAAATTATAAATAAATTTTGTTTACACATATATATATATATTTTAAAAATATTTTTTTATTTTTATTTAAAATAAAATATAATATTTTCCTCATAATAAACCAAATTTTCTAAGTAATTTTTTGTATAAATTACATAAAAAAAATAAAAAAATATTTTAACTTTTATATATCATATAATATTTAATAAAAATAGTTTTTATTATAATTATATTTATTATTTTAAAGGAATTAATTAATTTTAAAAAATCATTTAATTTATATTTTATAAAATTAATTAAATATATTTATTAAAGAGTATT